CATAGAATCTCAGGAAACCAGAAATAAAAAGATCTTAAATATTCACCATCATCATCATCATAGCTATAATTACATACAGCAAACGTACTTGTAAGCACATTTAATCTTCTTGGAGACTCTTAAGGGAAGTACTAGCATTTTACCCTCTTGATAAATGAGGAACCTAAGGCACAGAGTGGTTAAGTAACTTGCCCAATATCACACAGCTAGTTACGTGGCAGAGTCAGATTTCATATCCAGGCTGTCTGGCTCTAAATTTTACACCTCCAAACACTACACTACACTAAAAGTTATAATGCAGAGGAGCAATGCTTGCAAAATTCTAAAGTGAATTATTTACTGCCTAGAATTCTGCACATGGCCAGGCCTTCAATCAAGTGTATGACTAGCTTCAGAAATTCAGTTTTATCTGTGGTGTGTTCCTTCTCAGGAATGACTAGCATTCACTCATTAGGGAGCCCGAAACCAGGCAGAGGCCAAGGACAGTTGTCCAGCAAGCCCAGACAGCAACCTGTTCAGAGGAAAACAAAGCAGATGGCTACTGGTGGGCTCTCTGCCAGAGAGAGAGAGAGAGAGAGAGAGAGAGAGAGAGAGAGAGAGAGAGAGAGAAATAATACCTTATAGGATGTTTTTGGCAAAGGGGAGAATAGTGTTGAGATTTTCTCTAGCACTCCTTCATTGCTGTAAAGAAGGAAGATGCTAAATGCATTAGAAAATTAAGCCAAAGAAAAAAGAGCATGTGAAATGAATTGTAATCATTATAAATCAAATGTGAATGATAACCTCATTGTCAAAATTTTATAAAACCTGAGTGTGAATTTACCCAGATGTTTGAACGATGTGTGGATGCAACCTTATTGCACAATGAAGACGAGGGGAAAGAAGACATCTTGTTAACTCACGGCAGGAAATAGCTGGGATTGAACTAGGGCCTAGGGAAGAGTTAGGTAAGAGACTGCTGCCTCCATTGTAAGACCTACAGTGGTATTTGACTTTTAAAATATATATATTTTTCTTCGTGTTTTTTTTTTTTTTTTTGGGGGGGGAGACTTCTGGTGAGAACCAGAAAACCTACTAGACACATTTAAAAAGAGCTGTAAGCACTAAAAGAAAGTGAATGTTTTAATCCAATGAAAATAGTAAAAGAAACCTATATAATAAAAGGCTGATATGCAAATCAACCGTGTGCTATGATGCACTCGGACCTCCAGGGGCCAGACGCTCAATGCAGGTGCTGCCCCCTGGTGGTCAGTGTGTTCCCACGGGGTGAGGGGGGGTGCCATTCAGCCAGAAGCCCTGAGCCAGGCTTACAGCTGGTGAGCGCAGCAGCAGTGGTGACAGGAGCCTCTCCTGCCTCCGTGCCAGTGCTAAGGATGTTGGTCTGACAGCTCAGGGCACAGGCTGGGCTGAGGGACTCCCTACCCCCAAATGCACGAATTTCTTGCACCAGGCCTCTAGTAGTTAAATAACAATTAGTGTGGGTTTAGTGTGCTTCTCTCAAGACTGTCTACATGAAATCAGCTTTAGGAAAAGGCTTTCAAATAGGACTTAATCTAATTTTTAAAAATGTTTTATTGATTTTTAGAGAGGCAGGGACAGGTAGAGAGAGATGGAAACAGTAATGAGAGAGCATCATTGACCGGCTACCTCCTGCATGCTCCCTACTAAGGATTGAGCCCGCAACCTGGGCATATGCTCTGATGAGGAATCAACTGTGATCTCCTGTGTCAGAGGTCGATGCTCAACCACTGAGCCACACCGGCCCAGGCAGGAGATAATCTAATTTGGTATAAAAGAGAAACGTGTACTATTCAAGAGGGATGAGCAGAAGAATATCAGCCAAGTGCCCGGAACTGGATGGAGGGTTTGGATTAAAGAGAGCTGGAGTGTATTGTGGGACTAATGAGGCTTGAAACTAGGAAATCCATTTGTGGTGACTATGGAGTGCCAAATACAGCTGAGGTTTAACTCAACAGGCAAGTGCTGATGATGGGTTTATGGAGGCATGTGGCACTGTAAAAGCAATCAGCTCTGATTTTTGAAGTTTGTGTAGTGAAGCCACAAGAAGGAATGTGAGTTAGAAGCTATTGATTTCTGGGCCACCAACTCAAAGGTCTCTCTTCAGTTCCATGAAATGGGTGAATTTAGGGTCAAGGAAGTAATATTTCATATGAGTCCTTTAACAATGTAGGCATCCTTCAAATTCCTCATGGAATTGCCTAAAAAATGGAAATTTTTGCCATCTCAGGAAATGGAATAATATAACTATAGAGAAAATGTGTATCCTCTCTCTCTCTCTCTCTCTCTCTCTCTCTCTCTCTCTCTCTCTCTCTCTCATACACACACACACACACACACACACACACACACACAAATATACAATTTTGATTCATTCACACCCAACAATAGTTCTTGTGTTGACTCTTGTCATTTTTTATTTTATTTTACAATCTAAGGAAAAATAAGTCAGGCATTGCATTCTAGAAATTCTTGTGGTGCACTTGGTTGAAAATCACTGCCATAATGTAGTTATTACTTTGGTAGAAAAAATGTTTGTGTGGACCACGTAAGAGATCATGATTGCTATCTTTATGATGTTCATTATTTCATCAGGTTTACTAGGTGTGTTACTGCTTAGCCTGTTTTTTTCCCAGCTGTCAGGAACGTGAACCCCCTTGGTCAGCCCGGTGTCCTGTGGGGAGCGCTCTGTTCCCCAAGGACCACCCGCACAAAGACCTGTGCCTCACAGGTTCCAGCAACCCACTGCAGAGGAGCTGGCAGGAGCCATCAATCACCCTAGTGTCCCAGAGGGGAGCAGGGTCCCCAGGGCAACTGCCGCCTCCCCGCCCCTTCCACAGGTGCCTTAGAACAGCCGAGGGCGTGGAGGCAGCGGACTCTTTCTGGCCCCTAGACTGTGAGATATCCACTCCAAGAGCTACCCCTTCATTCCTGAAAGGGAAAGTGGTCACTAGATTAACGAGGATCATTCATTGTAACGTTGTCTGACACAGGACTGAGCCTGAAAGAAAGTGGAGAGTGGCTGTTGTGTAATGGGAATCAGAAACTGTGTGCTGCCAGAACCGGTTTGGCACAGTGGATAGAGCATCGGCCTGCGGACTGAAAGGTCCCAGGTTCAATTCCTGTCAAGGGCATGTACCTTAGTTGTGGGCACATTCCCAATAGGGGGTGTGCAAGAGGCACCTGATCGATGTGATTCTCTCTCATCGATGTTTCTAACTCTCTATCCCTCTCTCTTCCTCTCTGTAAAAAAAATCAACAAAATTATATTAAAAAAGAACAAAAAAACTCAAACCTGTGCGCTGCCCGATCCCTACTGAGCAGGTCCTCGGCCTCACAGCGCAGGTGGCACCAGGGTGCTATGTGTGGCCAGGGGATAGAAAATCGTGTTTTTAAAGAATCATTACTGCTCCTGGAAAAGGACCTCAGCTACGCCTCCCTGAGACACAAAGAGGAGGTGAAGGGGGAGCAGGAATGGCATGTCACATACAAAAGCAGCTTGCTCCTCAGAAGCATTTCAAACTTTTTATATAGAGTGATGCAGTCACTTTCACATTTCCCCCTGGGGCTTTGTGCCCTATTTTAGGAACAAAAGATCGGCTCCTTCCAAAGATGCCTCGAAAATTTGCTTTCAAAAGAAGTGAAAGAAACTTCTAAAATACTAGGAAAGAGGATGGGAAGGTGCCAAAAATACTCATGTGGAAAGTACTTCCCTGTGTTAGCGAGGTAATTCTCCTTTCATGGGTGATGGTTTCACATGAAACCATCTGGCAAGGGGAACGAGGCACGTAGCAACAGGGACTGCTGGTGATTTGAATGTTTTATAGAAGATGTAAATATCTGGCCTGCGTTTTTTTTTTTTCTTCTTTCCCTTTCCGTAAAGTTAGCACCCTTGAGAAAACCACCGTATTCTCTCACTCCGAGGACCTGCCAGAGTGAGGACTTTTGAGAGTGTCTGTATTGAAATTAAATCTTGGACTTGCTACTTATGAATTAGCTACCTGGGGTTAAAAAGTGGTATTGGAGTTATTGATGGGTAGGTGACCAGCACAAAGCGGGTGAGGAGGATGGGTGGGTTTCACAGAAACAGAAGTATAAGTTTGGTGCAGTTACTATGAAAAGCGGTATGGAGGTTCCTCAGAATATTAAAAATAGAACTGCCGTGTGACCCAGCAGTCCCACTTCTAGGTATAGTACATCCAGAGTTAATGGAATAGCGAAGAGATATCTGTTTCCCTGTTCACTGCAGCATTCTTCACAATAACCAAGGTATGGAAGCAACCTCAACCAGCGGGTGGAGGGGGATGGTGTGAGCCTTCCTGGCCAATGTGTCGTGTTGTACACAGAAAAGTTTCCTGTTCAATGTTGGGGCACATGCCCATGTTTAGGGCTGAATCTCCAGTAGGGAGTGATAGATATCGACATTCTGCTTTCACTTCTCTCTCTCTCTCTCTCTCTTTCTCTCTCTCTCTACACACACACACACACACACCCTCTTTCCTTTCTCTCTAGAAATACTTTTTTTCATTGATTTCATAGAGGAAGGGAGAGGGAGAAAGAAACATCAGTGATAAGAATAAATTCAAAGTGTAAAAAAAAGATACATCAGTGATAAGAATAAATTCAAAGTGTGGCTCAGTGTGGCTCAGTTACTGACCTATGAACTAGGAGGCCATGGTTCAATCCCCAGTTAGGGCGCCTGCCCAGTTTGTGAGCTCCATCCCCAGTGTGGGCATGTAGGAGGTAGCCGATCAATCATTCTTATCACTGATGTTTCTTTCTCCCTCTCCCTTCCTCTATGAAATCAATGAAAAAAAAGTATTTTCTTTTAAATGTCAACTTTCAAAAGGAAAAATTAAAAGATGGAGTGAGAAAATGCTCTCTTCTTGATGAACCAGATAAACGAAAAGCCGGGAGTCATTTTGAAAAGGTGTTCTGCCTGGCCTCTTATCAGTCCGCTAACCCCAGAATCTCCTCTCTAGTCCTTAGAGAGAAACTGGAAGTTGATCCGTGACGAAGGCCTCGCGGTGATGGATAAAGCCCAAGGCCTCTTCCTGCCCGAGGATGAAAACCTGAGGGAGAAGGGAGACTGGAGCCAGTTTACGCTGTGGCAGCAAGGTGAGCGCCCCCCCCCACCCCGGCTTCCAGATTCCGCAGCTCAGAAGCGGACACTAGTCTGGTGACACTTCCCAGGGTCAGGATTCCCCAATTTACAGGAAACTGTCCAAGAAAACCTAGCTTATCAAATTCCATCCAGTTTTCTAAAACTATATGTGAACATTTATTCGTGTGTGTGCATGCCCGTGTATACTCCTGTGCATATTTGGATAAATAGAGGCCCGGTGCACAAAATTCGTGTACTGGGGACGAGTGGTCCCTCAGCCTGGATTGTACCGCGTCACAGTCCAGGAACACTCACAGGATGTCCGACTGATGGCTTAGGTTAGACATATTAGTGCTGCAGCGGAGGTGGGAAAGGCTTCCACCACTCTGCTGCTGCACTCGCCAGCCATGAGCTTGGTTTCTGGCTGAGTAGCACTCCCCCTGTGGGAGCACACTGACCAACGGAGGATAGCTCCTGCATTGAGAATCTGCCCCCTGGTGGTCAATGCATGTCATAGCGACCAGTCATCCTGCTGTTCGGTCAATTTGCATATTAGCCTTTTATTATATAGGATAGTATTTTGAGTCCCTAATCTTTTCTGTTAAATGATACGCTCCAGAGAATACCTCGACTGTGTAGGCATATCTGCAGAGTCCACCGTGTGCTCCTCAATGCCTTGGAGGGGAGCTTCCCTGAGCCTCTTTGCTCCTGTCAAATGGAGATAGTGTTGTTTGCCAAAATGATATCCCAGGGGTAAGAGTTGGTAGAGATGAGGACAGACTGGAGGGGCAGGACAGTAATTACTGGTCCCTGAGCTCTTCAAGACAAGGAAGTGATGTACATTCAACCTCAGATTTCCCTGAGCTGAATTCAGGCGAAGGCATGCAGACAGGGCTCCGGTCTGTGTGTGCTCATTGAACTAACACAGTGGTCGGCAAACTCAATAGTCAACAGAGCCAAATATCAAGAGTACTACGATTGAAATTTCTTTTTTAAATTTAAACTTCTTCTAACGCCACTTCTTCAAAATAGACTCGCCCAAGCCATGGTATTTTGTAGAAGAGCCACACTCAAGGGCCCAAGAGCCCCATGTGGCTCGCAAGCCACAGTTTGCTGACCACTGAATTAATATATCAATCTATCCTTAAAATGAGGAGCATGGAATTTTATCTTTAAGTCTCTCTCCACTTCCTTTGAAAATTCAAGATAAACTCGGTTAACAAGAGTGTACAAAGTAAATCCATTTTGAAGACTAAATAGCACCGCATAATATCAACACAGGAATTGAATCTGAGAGGAGGATAAGCAGTTGGTGTACGTTAAAGGACTAACAACCACAGTCGTTTATCTATTATGTTTTCCAAATGCTTTACATGAAAGAGAAAGAACTACTTAAGTGATATTTTCAAGGAAATACCCATGATTTCAAGAGACCACATGATTTCAAGTGACTGTCAGTTTTTTGCCAGCATGATTTTTTTTAATGCAGCAAATGATGCTGTGCATTCCTGAGCACATCTTCCCTAAGAAACAGCAATTTTGTAGATGATGTGAAGAAATTTGCATAGCCTAGGATACTTAAGACCATGTCCCAAATTCTGTGTCTCTTCACACAGTGACACCTAGAAAACATCATCTCTCAAAGACTTCCTCCCACCTTCATGTAAATCTTGCTTTTAGCTATATATTAAGGATGATCTATACCAGTGGTCGGCAAACTCATTAGTCAACAGAGCCAAATATCAACAGTACAATGATTAAAAAATTTGGCTCTCAAAAGAAATTTCAAACTTTTTCTAATGCCACTTCAAAATAGACTTGCCCAGGCCGTGGTATTTTGTGGAAGAGCCAGAGAACCTCAGGTGGCTCAAGAATCGCAGTTTGCCAACCACGGATCTATACAATGAAAAATGCATTAAATTCCAATGAAAAATATTGTGTAGGTAACTCTTTAGTATAATCCTGGAAATGCATTTTTAGGTGAGAAATATAAGCTTTTTTGGGGAGGTGGGGGCTGGTATATTACTGTGGCTGCTGTAACAAATTACCACAAACTTAGTGCCGTAAAATAACATGAATTGTTAGAGTTCTGGAGGTCAGGAGTCTGCAGTGGGTCTCACTGGGCGAGCACAGAAGTGTCATCAGGCTGCTTTCCTTCCGGAGGCTCCGGTTTAGTCTGCCCACGTTCCTTTCCATCGTCAGAGTCAGCAATGGCCCGTCAAGTCTTTCTCATTTGGTATCATTCAAACCTTGCCTCTTCTGCCTCTCTCTTCCGCATTTAAGAACCCTAGGATTCCACTGGGCACATCTAATTAATCCAGGATAATCTCTGTATTTTAAGATGCACTGATTAGAAATCTCAGTGCCCTCTGTAACCTTTATTTCCCCTCTCCATTAACATAGCATATCATAGGTTTCTGGGCTTGATGTTGATATCCACTATCCTGCCTGCCTTGAGGAATAGGGGGTTTAGAGGGGAGGGGGGGATAATTATTTGGCATCTTTAGTCAAATAGTCCAGCAGTGAGGGGAGAATTCTAGTCCTTGCTCTGCAAGTCAGTATCTAGTGGAGCAAAGCACATGGTCTCCCTGTGAGTATGCAGCCTTCTCATCCCCACAGTGAGCATGGCAATATGGATCACATGTGGTCCAAGCAGGATGAGTCAGAGCTGCACTGTGATTTGTTCCTAACGATGCTTTTATCATTTATTCTAGGAAGAAAAAATGAAAACGCCTGTAAAGGAGCTCCTAAAACCTGTTCTTTACTGGATAAATTCCCCGAGACAACAGGATGCAGGAGAGGACAGGTACCAAGAGTGTTTTCAGTGCTGGGAAGAGCACAATTGCTCATTGGCCATAAGGGAATGTGGATGATTACAAAGAAGTGTTTGGCATGTCCCTTGGCCCAAGGAATGCCTCTTTTTAATGAACCAATTTCATGTGGTTGATGTCAGAATCGAGGGTGAAAATGTTCAGTGTGTATATATAGCTTTGTGCAAAAAGGGAGCACTTATTTTTAAGTCCTTCACAAAGAAATGAAAGGAAAATATTAATTCTAAGTCTTACAAAGGCTCTAATCCAAATTGACAGTAATGTTGTACTGTCACTTTAGCAATTCCCCCACAGCTTGATAACTGGAAGAACGGTGTGTTATGTTTTCTGCACAGATCAAATATTCCATCATGCACCCTGGAACTCACGTGTGGCCGCACACGGGGCCCACGAACTGCAGGCTCCGGATGCACCTGGGCTTGGTGATTCCCAAGGAAGGCTGCAAGATCCGATGTGCCAACGAGACCAAGTACGTTTGCTCCCACCGTTTTCTCTCTTACTCGTCACCTCTGAGGATGGGTGTTTGTGACGACAAAGCCATGTTCGGTTGGATACTTTCTCTTCCTTTGTGAACATGTAGACTAGGGGTGGGTGATGTTAATCCAGACCCTTTCATCTCTGTCCCTTCTTTGGACTGGAGGCACTTATTCCCCAGTTCCAGGGCGGCATTCTACAGTGATGTCTCTCCAGAGCACATGTATCTGGTTGATGAGCCTTCTTGCTTCCCTTTCTAGATCAAGCATGTCAAACTCAAAGGCTAACACTGGCCATATAAACGAAGCATCGGCCTGTGGGCCGCGAGTTTGACATACTTGTTCTAGATAGACAGACTTGCACTCAGCGTTAGCTGGCTTGTACTGAGCCCCACACATGTTACACATTGCGTGTATTGCTTTACCGTGGAATTATTCAATGGTAGCGACCCCCTTCCTGAAGACACCCCCTCCCCCCCATGATATTTATGTATTGTTCTGGAGGAGTCAGCATGGTGTCACAGAAGCTAGCAGCCTTCAGACCTAGCCCTGCCACCTAATTCTATGTATCCTTGGCCTGTTACTTAATCCCCTCGAGCCTCGACCTTCTTGGCATTGACACTAGCTGCTTTGCAGGACTGTTGTTTGGAGCAAGTGAAATAATGCCCACGGGCACTTAGACCAGGTCCTAGCAGGAGCAGGGAGGTGAAAGTAGGGCCATGTAGGGCCCCTTCTCCCCCATGCCTGCCCACAACATACACACGCACCGGTCCGCCAGCGTCGGAATCACAAGCCTCCGCGTTTCTGTGTTCCAGGACCTGGGAAGAAGGCAAGGTGCTCATCTTCGACGACTCCTTTGAGCACGAGGTGTGGCAGGACGCCGCGTCTTTCCGGCTGATATTCATCGTAGATGTGTGGCATCCGGAGCTGACACCCCAGCAGAGACGCAGCCTGCCTGCGATTTAGCGTGCCGTGCGGGTTTGGGACACACTGGAGAAGAGGCTGTCTTTTGGGTTCTGTCGGCTCGGTGTGGGGAGAGAAATTCGAGCACCAATGCCCTTTTAATTTCCTTGATTTGCAGCCTAAAGATTTCTAAACCTCCTCCTAGGGTTAGAAGACGTGAAAGGGAATACTTGCCCCACTGCAACTCACTTAGGAAAGACCCTGCTGTATATCATTCCAGGACAGCGCTGGTCTGATGCCGTGTTTCAGGTAAATCCATAATAGTGTCTACCTTGCCAGCCAAAGATATTTGCTCCATTTAGAATAGGCTGCATCAGTGTGTAGTGAGAATACATGTAGAGACTGTGAATGAGTTGCTTTAGCTTGTAATGTTCCTATGCAATATATTTTTCTAGGGTAGATAGATGATTTTTGTCATCACATACCTCTACTTTTTTGTTGATTTTAATGACAAGCTGTGTAAATGCTTCACTTCTAGCAGTTTCATGATAACTTTCCTGGTGAACTCAGACTTCCCTCTTTTAATTTTTTGGCAAAGACAACTCATGAAGGAAGCAATTGTCTAAGACGAAGGAAAACAATGTAATTATGCCAGCATATGTGACCTGTACAGCTCCCTGCCCACTGGGTCTGCTTTTTTAAATTTTATCTTCAAGAGCTGGTGTCTATATTTCTCTCTCCTCACCATGCAAATGGTAGAGATATTGTCAAAATGGCATTTCTTTCTAAGAGGAAGCTTTTACACCAAAAAGGGACATAGAATCATTTTCTTTTGCATTATGCAAATGCATACGTTTTTTTTAATGCTTGAAAAAAATAACGTAAAAATTGTTCAAGTGAAAATTTTCTCTCGGGATCAGGTAGATAGGTGGCTGCTAGAACCTCTGGCTGTCCATGACAGGAATCCAGAGTGTCTTTGCCTATTGTAGATCCATGCGAGTGACAGAATCCTTGAGAGGATTCCCATCAGTTTTGCAAAACTAGGAAGGATGGCCGAGTGGGAGGCAGGGATGCCAGGCTCTCGGTCCCGGGTGTCGGAGGTTGAGATCGCTTTCCTCTTTGAAAGAGTTTGGAAGCCTCTTCCAGCTGCCTGGCTTGAGCAACTCTTGCCATCTAAGCATCATTTTGAAAGAGCAATTATTATTCATAGCTTAGTCTTACTATTAGTAGTAAGACTGCATAGACATAACTATTGAAAAATGGCCTTGCCTACTCATCCCAAAGATGACCATGTCATTAATTGGGTCGATTATGAATGCATTTTTAAATTAAAGCACAGTAGAAATGTTAGCTATAAGAATGTAATAATATGAATGCACTGAACTTTAAGCCAATATGAACAAAACAAAATAAAATGCTGGCAAAATTACATAGAGGTTACCAAATATCACTCACAGGTAGAAAAACATGTGTGCCTTCTTTTCTAGCTCAGGACAAAGGAGGATGTTTTTGTGTGCCATTTAAAAAAAAGTTCTTTAAAATGAACCTTTTTTGTTGTTCAAGCACATTATCTTCCAGGAGAAGAGTTTGCAAAATACTTGTGTTCCCTTCTGTTTTGCCAATGTTCAGAAAACTCACTAAAATAGGGGGGGGGGAATCAAATTAATTACCAAAGTAAACTCTTGAAAAAGAAAAAAGGTATTTGTGTCCTTCAGTATTTATTGAACAGAGGAAATGACTGACAAAGGACAATACAATGCTCATGTGATAACATTCATGTCACTTACAGAATTTGGTTCTTGTATGTATATTGCATACACAAAGAAATTCAAAGCATAACTTGTCATCATTGAACCAACTTCTTACATTCATGTAAGAAGTCATGGGATAGAGTGAAAACTAGCTCTCAACTTGCAATTATAACATGGTATTTAAAATCAGGTCACTACAGGATTCTAAAGATTGCCAATCAAAAAGCCAGAATTGTTTTTACTGTTGCAAAGGGTTGGCAAGAATTGACTCCAATAGCATTTTAAGTACTTGGATTCCACAACTGCCTTACCTTTAAAACCCAGGTAATAAAATGGATTTTCTAATTCACTTTAATTCTTCATATTTCTTCCCTATGTCATGGTGTATAAGAAAAGTGTTTGTCATTGCATTGGTAGAATTACTTCAATATTTTATTTGAAATGTCTACACAAAAAAAAATTGGTTTTATTAATACTGCAATGCAATTGAGAAATATTTTTAATCCTATTTCAATTTTATTTCAAGGGTGGTGAATACAAAAATTACTTGTTAATATTTCTGTTAATTATTATCTACCAGTAGAAAAAATTAGTAATAGTGATCGAGGGTGATTTGTAGCCAGATGAATCACCTCTTCCCTTCGAATTTTTTATCTAACAAGTTAACCCTCCCAAATTCTTAAAATGTGAAATCGTATTTTGCTGCCCATTAACTGAAATATTTTTATTTGGCATTGAGCACCCACAGGTTATACTAATGAATGCCATGTCATGCAGATGGCTGAGATATTGGAAAACATACAGCTGATTTTGGGGGGAAAATGGCACAGGTAAAATTAAGGATATCATAGGACGTGATATCCTTATCTAATTTCCTTTGAATGGATAGTTGGGGGCTCCATTTCCAAGGAGAATAGACAAATACAATGATCTTTGGCATTTCATCCTGCATTCCTAGTTTTCTCTAATTTTCAGTACTTGCCTATTCAGCCATCCTTGAGGGTCTTCCTCCAGCAACAGCCAGGCCTTTTCACCACACCTTTCACTGGTTGCGGGGGGAGGAGGGGGTTACATGCTTTAGTGACACTTTCCTTTGCTGTAGTGACCCAAGTGAGGCAACTTGAATGGGTTTATAAATCACTGACATGTTTTCAATGGGACCCCACCTCCCCATCTGCAGAGACACATTGCTAAGATGAAATAATCTTATTTCACATTGTGTGCCTTCTTTTAATGTCAGCTCTTGATGATCAGCTGGTAGCCTGACAAAAGAAGTGATGTCAAAATCATTTTTGCAGGATATGAAAATAAGCAGCCTCTGAACATAGCCAGGCCTCGGAGAACTTGCTCTTAGGCTGAGCAACTTGATGCTGGTGATGAGGTCAAAGAAAATAATTCAGTAAGAATGGAAATTACTGGTGATACCATTGTCTCGGGGCTCTGCACTACATTAAACTGGACAGTTGTGATGCATCTACTCGGAAATGCACTTAATCTTAAATTGCATCTACTCGGAAATGCACTTAATCTTAAATTGCAAAAACGGGAGAAGGTCTCTGGGCGATGCCTCAGAAAAATCCTTGATCTAATGCAGTGAGTGCATCAAACTTAGTAATTCATTTAATCCCCTACATGTGGGGGAGGAGAATCTTGATTACATAACTGCCTTGCTTTGTCCTCTACCCAGTGCCCTCATTGAAAAAGGGGGAAAAAGCATCTCTCAAGTCTTGAAGTGTTCAACTTTGGCTGCTCCGGCCAAGGGCTGGTGACAGGAGTGGAGAGAGCCTTGTATCAAGCCGTACCTGTCTGGGGTCAGTTGCGCATGTGCTTCCTAGGTGGCTGATACCCCCGACAGCTGACGATATGCGGGAACATGGAGTGACTCGGAGTTCAATCCAGAGCCAGGAGTGGCTGAGTGTTTTCGTTCTCTCCCTTCTCCTCATGTTTCAGGGTCCCAGCTTCTACCACAGACTGAGATCTAATAATATGGGAAGGAAGGGGAAAAAAGATACATTTACAATTCATGATGACAACATTTTGGAACGTTAGAGGGCATTCAGATTTTATATTCCCCTTATTAAGATAGTATCCCCCTCCCCTGCTTTTGTAGCTCTGCTTTCTTTGCTTCCGGGTCTTTTATACCACATTTTTTTATGGGGAGAGGCATCTTGGAATCATCTTTGCAGTACACTCATCTCTTTATATTTGCTTCTGTGTATTATAGAACTGCTTTGCCTCTGTCTTTGTGGGATGGCCTTTTGTAGAAGGTGTCTTGAGGGGTCCAGTGGTGTAGTCTCTTTGTTCACCTGAGTGGATGTTCTTGGAATGCCTATTGTATGTCTTGTTTGGGCTCTTCTGTTGTGAGTCTTCATTGTGTTTTTAAAATACATTTGACTTTTGTTGTTCACTTACTTATACCTTCATTAGTTGATTCTTGTATGTGCCTGACCAGGGGTCGAGACTTCATTGTTGATGTCCTGTTTGTGGGAGGGATCTCCCCTCCAACTTGCTGCCAGTGAGGTTCAACCCCAATGTCATTGTGTCAGGGGTCAGGGACTCCTTAGCCCAGAGTGATCTGTCTTGAATCTCACACCTTGATTGAGCCTGTTCTGAGCTGTACTTCCTTCCAGCACGGAGCTGGTCCCACAGGTAGCAGCTGCAGGCTTTTGGTGGTGTCCTGCTGGCTTTTGCTCCACTGCACAGTCCAGGATGGGGACCCAAACTGCTGTTTCTGACTAGAACTGGCAAAGACTCCAGACTGACTGGATTCAGCCTGGAGTAGCCTCAAGCAGTTGTCCACAGGTGGGATGAGAGGTTTTCCACCAGGGTGGGACAGCTGTTTCTGCTTGGAGGCTAGTTATTCTCAGTCTCTTAATGGGCATCAGAAACTCCACAGGGTGGGGGCAAGGGATTTTCCAAGAGGGTGGGTGAACTGTCATTCCCCCAAGGCAAAAACAGCAGGATAGCAAAAGTTTGCCTGAGGAAGATGACCTCCACAGCTCGAGAAAATGATTCAGCACAGGTGTCTGCCTAATGAGCTCTAATCCCAGACCCCCCAACCCTGACTTACATTTATACAGTTCACTCTGCCCTTCCTCTGCTGGAGCCCAAGGTGAGTGGCTGCACTCACAATGTTGTGTGTTGGCCTTTTCAGAAGGTGTCTGCATTCCCAGTCATTTCTCCGGGGCAGACAGCAAACCTGTTTTTCAGACAGCAAACCTGTTTTTCACAGCCAGATGTTATGTGGACACCTTTCTCAGTTCTGGTGCTCTCTGCTGGTGGCCCAGTTTGGATCATACACATGATCAAGTGGGATTTATTCCAGGAATGTGAGGCTAGTACAATATTCACAAATCAATAAATGTGATATATCACATGAACAAATTAAAAGATTAAAACCACATGATCATATCAATAGATGCAGAAAAAGCATTTGATGAAATCCAGCACCCTATTTTGATAAAAATTCTCAGTAAAGTGAAATAGAGGGACCATACCTCAACATAATAAAGGCCATATACGACAAACCGATAGCCATTATACAATAAGTAAAAACAAAGCATTTCCTTATGAACAGGAACAAGAAAGACAAGGATGTCCGCTTTCACCACTCCTTTTCAATATAGTACTGGAAATCCTAGCCACAGCAATCAGACAAGAAGAGATAAAAGACATCCAAATTGGAAAGAAGGAAGTAAAACTGCCATTATTCGCAGATGACATATTGTACATAGAAAACCCCAAAGACTACCAGGAAATTACTTAAAAAATAATAAATGAATTTGGCAAGGTAGCAGGATACAAAAATCAAAATCCAGAAATCTATAGCATTTTTATGCACCAATAATTAACTCTCAGAGAAACTAAAAAGTAATCTCATGTATCATTGCAACAACAACAAATAAACAACCTAGGAATAACTTAATGAAGGCAGTATAAAAGACCTATACTTGGAATACTATAGAACATTGAAAAAACTAGAAGATACAAATGGAAGCATAAACAATGTTCATGGATTGGAAGAATTAACATTAAAATGTCTATACTACCCAAAGCAATCTACAGATTCAATGCAATATCTATTAAAATGCCAATGGTATGCTTCAAGGAACTAGAACAAATACTCCAAAAATTTATATGGAACCATAAAAGACCCCAAATAGCTGGAGCAATCTTGAGAAAGGAGAACAGAGTAGGAGGGATCACAGTACCAGATATCAAACTACACTACAAAACATTATAACCAAAACAACCTGGTATTGTCACAAGAACAGGCATATAGACCAATGGACCAGTACAGAGACCTCAAAAATTAACCCCAAGCCATTAAACTCAATACTTGACAAAGCAGGCAAAAACAATACAATGGAGTAAAGACAGCCTCTTCAACAAATGATGCTGAGAAAACTGGACAGACATGCAAAAAGATGAAACTAGAGCACTCATTTACACCAAACAATAAATTTAAGGTGGATAAAAGATTCAAAATTTTTATGGTTTCATGTCTTACATTTAAGAAAACCTAGGCAATGAAATCTCAGACATTTCTTGTAGCAATATGTTTACAGATCATCTCCTAGGGCCATGGTCGGCAAACTGTGGCTCACAAGCCATATGCGGCTCTTCCACAAAATGCCATCTGCTGGGCAAGTCTATTTTGAAGAAGTGGCATTAGAAGTTTAAAATTTGAGATCCAAATTTTTAATCATTGTACTGTTGATATTTAGTTTTGTTGACTAATAAGTTTGCCGACCACTGTCCTAGGGCAAAGGAAACTAAGAAAATAAACAAATGGGATTACATCAAAATGAAAAGCTTCTACACAGCAAAAGAAACCATCAGATTGAAAAGGGAACCCACTGAATAGGAGAACATATTTGCCAATGATACATCTAATAAGGGATTTATATCCAAAATATATAAAGCACTCATACAACTCAACAACAAAAAGACAATGCAATTAAAAAATGGAGAGATCTGAATAGACATTTCTCCAAAGAGAATATACAAATGGCCAAGAGACACATGAAAAAAATGCTCAAAGTCACTAATTGTCAGAAATACAAATTAAAACCACAATGAGATATTACCTCACACCTGTCAGAATGGGATCATCAAAAAACCCAGTATTGAAGAGGATGAGGAGAAAAGGGAACACTAGTTTGCTGCTGGTGGGAATGCAGACTGTGCAGCCACTCGGGAAAACAGTATGGAGTTTTCTAAAAATGGAAACTCCCATTTGATCCAGTGATCCCACTTCGGAGAATATATCCTAAAAACCCCAAAACACCAAACAAACAATATATGCACCCCTATGTTCATAGCATTATTTACAATGGTTGGGAAACAGCCCACGTGCCCCTCAGTAGATGAATGGATAAAAATGCTATGGGACATTTGCACTATGGAATACTACACAGCTGTTAAAAATAGGGATCTTTTGCCCTTTGGGACAGCATGGATGGTTCTGGAAAATATTATGCCAAGTGAAATAAGCCAAACTGAGAAAGACAAATGTCACAGGATTTCACTAGTATTTGTGGAATCTAATGAACAAAATGGATTGACCAACAAAGTAAGACCTGAAGCAGGGAGTCGTAGAACAGCCCAAAATACCTTGATATGCGGGGACGAGAACAGATAAACCAAAGAACTTATATACTTATATGCATAGCCTATGGTCAAGGGTAATAGGGTAGTGAAGACCTGGGGGTGGGTAGGGCCTGGGAAGAAGAGGGGAAAATGGGAGATACTTGTAATACTATCAACAATAAAAAGAATATTTTTAAAAAATGGTTGAACTAGATTGTTCAAACAAGCAAAAGTTTACAAGTTATGTGCCTGAGTTGCCCAAAACCTCTACCTTCCAAAGGTCTCAAAATGGTCTCTTACCTTCCTCCTCTAAACCCTTGGGATATCCTGCCCTGCCTGGTAAAGGTGTCTCTGAGACTTTGGGCCATGCCATATAGCATGCTGACAGTGTGATTTATACTGAGTGCCTGGGCTTTGGGTCATACTCTGTCAGTTTGACCTCTTGGGATGGAGAGGAGAAGGCACTGAAGATCAAGTAGCTAAGGTCCATCTCACGCACGCACTGTATGCCTATGTGACGGACCTCTCCTCTGCCCCCTATACAAGCCCTGGGCACCAAGACATTGGTGAGTTTCTGTGGCCGGTTACACGTTGTCACACATCATCACCGAGAACATTAAGCTGTGTGTGACAGCACTGGAAAGACAGCTGGAAGTGTGCAACTGGTTCAGTGCAGCTAGACTCCACCCAATGCACCTCTTTCCTTTGCCTATTTTAGTCCGTATTCTTTTGCTGGAACAAACCATAACTGTGAGTATAACAGCTCTTCTGGGTCCTGTGAGTCCTGGCAAATCATTAACCCTGAGGGTGGCCTAAAAGATCCCAAACACAAGCTATAATAACACTAACATTTGTGTGTATGCACCTGGCATTACTGTACATTCTTCACATGTATTAACTTATTTTCATGCCCTTAAGAAGTGGTGCTATTATCTTCATGTTAGGGAAAAAAACTAAGGAACAACAACAAAAGATCAGGTAGCATAGGAAAAGCAGCAAAAATAGTGAGGATCAAGGACAGTCGGTTTATCACCATCATACCACTCCAGGGTATATCTAAGCCTACAAAGCTATTTAGCTGAAAGGTATAATATTCTTATCTCCATTCAGGATATGCATGTGCTGTAGAAAGCATAAAATAGAAAGCAAATCTATGCAATTGTCCTAAAACAATGGGTTTTTGGGGGTAGGAGAGTGCTGTAAGAGATCATCCAAAGACTTGTATGCATGCATATAAGCATAACCACATGACCAATGAATACAAGACATGGGGAGTGGGAGGGAGGGCAGGTGACATATGGGGGGGAGGCAAATAGGGGAGATTGAAGGGAAATCAAGGGGATAAAAAGGAGACATGTACTACTATTTGTAATGCTTCAAACAATA